CGCTCCACGTGCTCCACGTGCTCCACGTGCTCCCCACGTGCTCCACGTGCTCCACGTGCTCCACGTGCTCCACGTGCTCCACGTGCTCCACGTTCTCACAGCATACCAGCGTAAATAGCAGTGTAATGCTGCTGTGTTCGTATGATGAGCGCAGAGAACCGGGGACCCTTTTACTGGAAACGTGGCATTCCATCTTAATCCTCAGAGATAACAATGCATCAGCATTTTGATTCTTAATTGAAGATAAATGTAGATGTCTATCATCTACTGAACCACACCATCTACTAATTATCAGGTGGATTATGTGCTCCTTTATCACCTTTACTCTATAAAAAATTGTAGGCCTTTTCAAGAATGCACAATTGGATTTCGTAATACATAAGTAAGACTTATGTACGTCATTTATTAGCAGCGTGCACCACGTGCACACAAGTTTGGACAGATTTATCTGAAATTTCCAGCTCATATTCAGTTACTAACAGATGAAGTTCTGATACAGATAATACAAATTTGACGATTCCATGTGGCAGTGGCTTGTCATTGAGTTGCGGCTCTTAGGGTCGCGGGTTCGAATCACGCAAGTAACGACTATTTGAATGAAGTATAAATAATTGTTCCGGGTCTGGATGTTTGTCCTTGCACTATTTATGCTTGTAAATTTGCTCCCACGATTTTACGTCTTTTAAAATAAAAAATAAAAATTTCCGTCTGTGTGCCCTTCTTATACACAGGCTAGGACGCATAAGTACTAAGGGCACTCCACTCATGCTGTTTAAAAGTCATCTAAGGACAGAACTCAGGAAGTAAAAATAAATTATTTACACATTGATAAAAGCCACGCCTAGTTTTGAAGTGCTGCAGGGTAGTGTCCTGGGCCCGACTCTCTTTTTAATATATGTAATCTACGGGATGTCGGTGGCAGGATATACTCCTACGCTCAATACACTGCGCTCGTTTTTACTTGTAGCACCTGGGATACTCTCCAAGCAAGTACTGAGAGGGGATTAGTCAACGTATCTAATTGACTCAGAAACAACCTTCTAACCTTGAACACCCAAAAAACAAACTACACCTGCTTCACTCCTAACAAATCCCAGCCAGATCATAACATTGCCATGAAAATCAACATTTGCTCTAATCCTGGTAACCTGTTATGCAACTATTGTACTATTGAAAAAGTCAGACAAACTAAATACCTAGGTATAATGTTGCATCAATGACTTGGCTGGCAATCACATTTGGAACTATTACCGAACCGCACTAGGAAACTCATATGGGTATTCAAATCAATACTGCAGGTCATTAGCAACAAACTTAAAAACCGAATCTATGTGGCCCTGGCCTAAACGGTGCTCACCTACTGTATCTCGATTTGGGGAGGAGCAGACAAAACTCACTTCTTTGCACACGAAAGAGCTCAGAGATCGCTTGTCAAAGTCATCTACTCCGAACCTTATATTTTTCCCGCCGATACACTATATAGATTAAGTGTCCTACTTACAGTCCGAAAATTCTATGTTCTGAATCTCATCTTAACATACCACAAATCTCTGCCTTATGTCGATCTGAGACTCTGAGATCTGAGTGAGTGATAAAAGAAAGAAGGATGTCGTGTTCCCCGTCACTGCTGCACGTACTGCTTTCGCCATAAGACAATATAGTGGTCAGTCTGCATATATATACAATAAAGTAAATAATTATACTAAAAATATACCCTATGTTATCTTAAACTTGCAAAGAAATTTTTAATAGAATGTTTGACTCAGTTATGCAGATGTTGAAAAACTTTTCATAAGAATTAGTCTAGTAGTTCAGTATAGTTTTAGAAAATTTCAATGTTCTGATATTCTATGACTACCTAAAGGGAATACTCGAGAAATTTTTGTAATAAGACTCTTGAAAATAAAGGAATTTTTATTTTATTTTATTTTAAATAAACATCACATCAATATGTACAATTTAATCGATAGGAAGTGCGCAACAAAACTTTTAAATTTTTCATTCGCGATCGTTTGGGGCCGCGTGAATTATGAAGGTTCCTTTCTAGTCTAGCACATGTAACGTAGAGGAAGTCCGGTTGTTTCAGGCGGTACCACAGTGATATGGTAGTGAGGGATGGGTATCCTTCCAAAATGCTAAGGCTGCTTGTGCGATTTCGTCTTTTCTTACCATAACAAAAAAAACCTCATCTTGAATTATTCGTACATAAACAGCAAATTATTAAGAAACTGACGACAGGGATTTATATCCAAAATGCGTGCTATTTTAATATTCACAATATTAGACCAAGGGACTTACTCAAAAAGTTTTGTAAAGAAATTATCTTAACTTTGAATGTATACAGGGCAGACACATAATTAAAATAGTCTGAACTGCCGCAGCACAATTAATTATGGATAATATTATTTTAAATTATTTATATCTGACTTTCTTTTAATACGTATATGTATTTTAATGCGTAATAAATCTTAACTTGCTGTTCCAAAAACTTTATAGACTAGCTTCTCATTTTTAGGAATATTTATAACTATTATGAAACAAGATTTTTCTTTTTTTGTTAAATTAGTAGTTGAGTTTTATGTAAGAAGTTCTCAATAGCAGCTCGAAGTTGGTACGTTAGTTGTGTTTCACTTCCGTGCCACGAAAAACACGTAAAAGATGCTGCGCTTGATTTCACTCAGGTAGTATCAGACTGCCGTACTATCGGATTATTAGAGTGAGGGAATATAAAGTGCGCCTGTGCCTGCGCATATAATCAGGCACTATAATCGTGTCCTGTCAAAGAAATATTAATAGGTATATAACAAGATTCCCTGTAATATTACTGAGATGTCTTTGCATAAACGCAAAGCACATGTTATAAGCATTTCTATTAAGAAAGTATAACATAAATTATCAATACAGAAACAGAAACTTTTTTATTCAATATAGATTATAAACAATACTTATTGAAAGTCAGTATCCTGGGAAGAACCAGCAAGAAACCCAGTGGGACTTTTTTTTTTCAAATAATAGCTTACAATACACATTATTATTTATAAGGTAAGAATGCGTCGATATAATGACCTGGAGTGTTTCTCTTATTATTATATCTTATGAGGTTAAATCGTAACAGTTGAAAGAAAATAACTTACTTGTAAGTTTCTTGGCACTTCTTCGTGTATATATCGCATTCATATCCATCGCAATATGACTAGATAAGGAGTATTGGTTGGACTCTGAATCGGACATACATTGATACCCGACAAAAATATCTATTCAATTCTGATTCCAATCAAATAAAATTACTTTCGTCATCGTAGTTATTTGAATGCAAAACAATTAAATGAAGCAAAGGCTTTATTTAATAGTTTTTTTTTTAATTTTCTTCATATCAAAATTTCTAATTTATTAATAAGAGAATTCGGTCTATAGGAATACATGTACTTTTTCTATTTATTTATATCTTTATACACTTAGTGTTTCAGACGTTACTAATGACGACAAACATTTGCGTTCACTGAGTAAAACTTGATTTTGATGGTAGTGACGGTGAACTTTGCCCTGCTCCGAAATCCCAAAACCATATCAGAAATGATTTAAGTCAGAAAATGGTTTAAAAACGGCCTCTTCGAGCTGTAGATATGGAGCATATGTAAGCTACTACGATGGTATGGACTCAGTATTAGCCATAGTCTCTCTTTCTCTCTCTCTCTCTCTCTCTCTCTCTCTCTCTTGGCGCGAAAAACGTAAAAAGAATGAGGGAATGTCAATTTGTTTAAAGTGAGTCAAAACGTTTCGTATGCAGGAGACCTTAGGCTTTGTTGATTTGAATATAATTGCATTATAACGGGGCGTGCATTTCCATACGCAAACATTGTTGTTTGATTTATCACTACTGTTGCTTGTCGGACTGTAATTGCGGCCGGCGCACTTACAGTGAAAACACTTATTTCTGTGTGATAAGAGATAATCACTATGCTATGATAGGGTAAGTGCCATGACTGTGAGGTTCAGTTCACAGTGTATTATTACACCACGGAAAATAGAATAAAAAACAAAACATCGTTTGAATTTATTGCTCTTAAGAACATTACCAACCTACAAATTTTAACATCACAAGACATTACCAAGTGTATTTTTTTAATTGTATCAGGTTACGCCTTGATAGAGTCTATTAATGTAGCGTTATTTAGATTTATAATAATCAAATACAATTTTATTATAATTTTTTTCAACCAAAAAATATATCCTAGATCCCTCGTGGGTCTCCTATTAAGATAGGATTGGTTCGGCCTTTCCGAAGATTAGTGCCAACAAACAGACAAATAGATATACGCGGTAGAGCCATCTGCAGCTAAATGGATGTAACACGAATGGGTCGGCTCGACCGAAGCAGGACCACGCTCTCACAGAATACCAGCGTAAAATAGCAGCTTAATGCTGCTGTGTTTCGTATGGTGAGTGTAGAAAACCGGAGACCCTTTAAGTGGAAACAAGGCATTCCAACTTAGAACTTTTACATTTGCATTCTGATTCTTATTTGAAGATAAATGTGTCTGTCTATATGCCACAGCATCTACTTACCATCAGGTGGACTGTGTGCAATGCTTGAAAAAAATAAAATTAATAACTATTTGATCATTTTTTATATTATAAGGGTAACAAATGGGCACACAGTCCACATTATAGTAAGTGGATGCGGTGGCCCATAGACATCTACATTTACCCTCAATTAAGAATGAAATGCAAATGCGTTCTCACCCCAGAGGACTAAGAGAAGCTTTTAAAAGTGAACATTCAACATACGAAACGCTGCTACTAGCATTACGCTGCTATTTTACACTGGTAATCTGTGAGAGCGTGGTCCTGCCTGGATCGAGCCGACCCATTCGTACTACAACTATAATATAAAGGCAGCAAGGCTCCACCGCGTAAAAAAAAACGTAAAAGTTGTTTTTACACGTAATAATATAAATAATTGCAAGCTGTTACATACAGCTGTGATAGGAGAATCTAACATGGCAGATAAAGATATAATAATAATAATTTTTAAAACTGTTAATCCATTGACAGGTGAAGGTTCATGCAACAGCAATGATGGGTACCCTCAGCGCACACCACCGGACAAGTCACCACCTCCCAGCGACGACGACACCCCTCGCCCCGGCGATAAGAAAAAGCATCGTCGCAACCGCACCACGTTCACCACATACCAGCTGCACGAGCTGGAGCGAGCCTTCGAGAAGAGCCACTATCCAGACGTGTACTCTAGAGAGGAGCTGGCTATGAAGGTGAATCTGCCAGAAGTCAGGGTTCAGGTAAGTGATTACTTTTATGTATTCACTAGTAATCCAATCTGGCTTTGCCTGGATATGATGTAATATGTCTATTGCCGGAGTCCATCTTATGATTTTGAGAATATATATTTTAATCTCAATTTTTTCTCTCTACGTCATAGATTCGTCAATGCTTCGCGTGGTCTCTCACTATCGTGGAAATTTTTGTGTTATTAGTTTTTAAGATATTTTCTGACTCCGCTATCACTTTTGATCTGTTTCTGTTATATTCGTAGATCTTGGCTTGCTAATTCCGCACTTTGATTACGCATTACGTGATTTTGGTGTTATCGTGTAAACTAGACAACATATAGAATAGAGGGCGTATTCTTAACGTAAAACACAGAGAGGAAGTCAGCAATAGAGGTATAACATAATGAAAGATCATTTTATCAACATTTTTTTAAACACAACGGACGAGTACAATGCAATATTACGCAATGTCATATAACGTAAGGATCTAAGCTTTAACCTTGATCATTCCTGGCATTGCTCCCTATCTGTGCTTACTCATTCTGTGTTTCATCATCATCGATTCAGCCATTCCGAAAATTGGCCCGGATAGATAAACGACACCTAAAAAATGGTTATTTAATAAATTAAATATATATATATATATATATATATATATTAATAATACGCAAATAACATAACAAATGCCATTTATTCCAATATTACAGACAGATAATTTAATTTTATTTATATTATATATAGATTTATTAACAAGGTACATCAACAGTAGGAAGTATGTACCTAATCTATAAACACGTGTTATAATTATTAAGTTTGTATATGCACACTTACTCATTATAGATCTACACAACATTTTTATTAAGAAATATAATAATATATAATAAGAAACTTTAAGATTCTTAAAGCACCTGTTTCATTCATTACAGTTTATAAAAGTCCACTGCTGAGGCTATGCCTCTCCCATAGATTGTCTCATAGGACTGTGCTATAGTTAGTCACGCTTGTCAAGGATTTTTTTTATTTTGATTTGTTATCAGGCAGACGCTGCTACCTATCTTCTGTATTAGTTTCCCTCTGCTGCCTCCTATGACACCTACGGGACGATGTTAAATGAAGTGGATATTCTTAGATTGTAATCACGTCAATCGATCGATCGTTGATTGATGTTGGAAATGATTAGTTGACATCGATCTAAGTCAATCAATGGTATCGATCGAAGATCGATCGATTGGTGTGGTAACACACTTACACTGCCACTATTTTTATTCTTCTTTATTTTTAATACATTTTATTCCTTATATGTATAATTTTAGTGTTTCGTATTATATGTCTCAGAGTTAAGACTAATGTTTGGCGACTCTCCGTGAGTTCTAGATGAAGGCAAACCGACAAGAATATCGCTATCGCTCCTTATCAGTAGTCCCATAGATTGTCTCACAGGACGGATATTTTCAAAGTTGTCACGTTACGTAGGCAGGTGGCGATCGCAGTTTATTTATTTATTTATTTACTGAAAACGTGTATGATTACAATTAAAATAGTTTTGGTGTAAATATAAATTTATTGGAAATTTTCCGAACACTATGTTAGTGGGATGGTAAATGGTTGCTGCGGCCCATAGACATCTACATCTATCCTCGATTACGAATCAAAACGCAGATTCGTTTACACCCGTAAAGACTAAGATGGAATGCCTAGTTTCCAGTAAAAAGGGTCTCCGGTTCTCTACACTCACCATACGAAACACAGCAGCATTAAGCTACTATTTGACGCTGGTATTCTGTGAGAGCGTGGTCCTTCCCCGGTCGAGCCGACCCATTCGTGCTACAACTATACTACCAATATAACTGCAGCATGGCTCTACCACGTACAGCAAACTTTTAGTTGTTATAAGGAAGACTCGTGGTTTGTTTCCCTCCATCTTACGACTCCCACGGAGCGATATGCGGTATCGGATATTCTTACACCAATGTAGTAATTCGACTGCAGCAACATATTGAGTCGGATACGTATTTGCTGCAATAATGATGATATCAATTTAAAAACTTAAAAGTAAAGGCCTGCGTAAATTTGCAAGAAATAGTTTCTGAAGTCAACGCGATATCACATCAGGGTATGAAAATGAAACTGATGATGAAACCGGTCGGTTTTTATGATTAGTAACAATTTAAAGTAAATATTGTAATACTAGTACTAGTGTTCATCCTAATGACAAAAATGAAGCTATTAGCTATTGTCATTACCGATTGACTACAATCGCAAATGTAAACTATATAATTGTTTTAATAATTTTAGTTCCTTGAAGCCGCTTTTTACTTTTCATTAAAAGTTTAGTTTTAATAATAAGTAGAAGCCGAAGTTGAAAGGGATTGAAAACTTTTCAATTGACTAAGGAATGTCGCGAGCTCGGGTTACCCTGGAACTAGATTGTTGTCCAAATAGTTACTTAAAAATTCTTTACCTATGCTTCTACTCTTAAGGGCAAGTTTCACATTTTTAATATTATTGAAGACAAAAAAATGTATTTTAAATATTTGCGAAAAGAATGTAAATCTGTAAATGCTTCTATTTTATACCTTATGTCCGAAACTACCTTAATATATATTTGTAAATGGGGAATCAGTAGATTTTTTTTCAATAATAAGAATCAAAATTTTTTGAAAATCAAGTTATTACTCCTGCATTTTCTGCTGGCGTGGTCCTAGCTCCGACTCGCTGGAGAGAGCGATCAATATTTCATTTTTAATATAAATCATGTTTCAGTGTTTATAATTATTTGTTTATGTTATTGTTAAATTAAACTACGATTAAGGACATCAAAAATTAACTAAATGAAACTCTATTAAGTGAAATGAAAACTCTTCGCAAACATTGAGTGAAGGGCCCTCGGGGAAAGGGGCAAAGGGCCAATAATGAACCCAAGGGGCTTATGCCACTCAATCCCCTTTGGCTTTGCGAGCCCAACATATGTCAAGCGTATTCGAAAACGACCAGCCTATAAAAACCCCATCATCCTCTCCTCGCCCCAAAGAAAGTAGAGCACGAAGGGGTAAGGTGAGGAAGTTACAGGGATCAAGTCAAAATGAATGGCCCCTAATTGCTTTCTTAAACCACGATAAAAAGAACTAGTGCAAGGGAAAATAGTTTTTATATTTATTAGCCTTAGCGAAGCTTATTGTTATACAGTATAAGTTGGTGTTTGAGTTATTTGTTAAATAGTGCGGTGTTCTGGTAATCTCCCGCTTTAGTTAATAAAGGGAACACGTTTATCGCCTATGGGAAAACGCGACACTTGCGATGGTTACTTTTACGCAGTCTTTTCAATGGAGCATTTAATTGATACTTTTTGTGGACACCGTGGAAGGATTAGTGAACATTAAAGGTTTAAGTGAACTTTTACAGCTGCGAATTATGTAAATACTAGCGAGCTGCCCCGTCTTCACCAGGGTATTAATGATTTTTTATCTTTACGCGAACATTACATATTTAAATGAAACTAATTTTTAAGAATTTTATCGCATATTTTATCGCATAACTTATTTTATATTTCAAACATTTCAAGTACTTTATAGCACCCACGGTCACGAGGGGAATGATTCTTCGACGTCGCAAAGTCAGTTAACCGTGGTTACCTTGATATAAAATTCTTTAAAATTATTTTCATATTTATTTATTTATATATTTAATCGTTTATTTTTTAGGTGGTAGAGACACGCTGCAGCTATATTATGTTGTATTACGAATGAGTCGGCTCGACCGGAGAAGGATCATGTTCTTACAGAATACCAGCGTAAAATATAGGAGCTTAAAATGATGCTGTGTTTTGTATAGTGAGTGTAGATGTAGAGTACCAGAGACCCGTTTTACTGAAATCGAGGCACTTTATCTCAGTCCTCAGGGATGACAACGCATTTGAATTTTGATTTTTAATTAAGATAAATGTGGATATTTATGTGCCACAGCATCCACTTACCGTCAGTTGGACTGTGTGCCCGTTTGTCACCCAATGCTATAAACAATATAGAAGGAACTATTGATATGGCACTAATAAGATTGAAGATAATCATCAAAGATAATTTATATTTTGGACTTGATATAAAATAAGAGTGACAAACCTATAGACATCTACATCTGTTCTTGATTAAGAAATACTTATAGAGGTGACATAGATGTGTTGTCATCTCTGACAACTACTATAGAATGTCCTCGTTATCAGTAATACCTCTATTCTTGAATTTCCTTCCCGGCCGAACCGACTCCTTCACGTTGCAACCACAACATGGCTGCAACGAGCCACTACTGTTTTACTAAAAACCCTTCTTAAGAGTTTACAAAATTTATCAAATATAGGTTACATTGAGCAGAGCTATGTAGCTGGTGGATATGAGATGGACGGAGAACATTCTTACTGGATACGAGGCATCCCATCTTAGTCCTGAGGAATGCCTATACATCTGCATATCGATTATTAATCGAGGATAAATGTAAATGTATCACAGTATCCACTTACCATCAGGTGGACTATGTGCTCGTTTGTTTTTACTGAAATTTAAAAAAAGGATATAAGTAAACAAAACTGTTAGCGAAAACCGAGCTCCTTAGAAAGGCAACTCATCGCAGTAATTAGCAGCCGACTAATGTTCGCTGGCCGAGGAGTAACAGACGTTTCAATTATCAACCCTTTAACCCTCTAGCTTCTAACATTATCTCTTGCTACAATTATTTTTAAAGTTTTTCTTCTAACATTAGAGTGAAAAGGACTTACAGTCTTTACTTTATGGTGGTACTGCGCCGCAGCGTTGCCAACTCTACGGATTTTTTCGTAGAACTACAGAAATTTTACATCGTCTACGAATCTACGAAATTTGTTTGAAAAATTGTTGTTCGTTCATTAATTTTTATAGCAGAAAGTTAAAAGAAAAGTAAGAATACGTCAGCAGTTATTTATTTTATGAGATAGTTGAATATACTCACCTCGTTAGACAAGCGGGTACTTTTTTAAAGAATAAGGGTGACAAACGAGCACAGAGTCCACCTGATGGTAAGTGGATGCTGTGGCCCATAGACATCTA